TGGACACCCTCACAGAGACCACGTGGAGGGGGCGGGGTTATAGAGGATCAGAAGGCGGCATCAGCAATGGTTGGTCGACCAATCCTTGGCCTCGTTCGTGTCGCTTCGGTAGAGATCCGCCCAATCTCCGACCAGGGGCGGACCCGCCGGGAGATTCACCCTCGTCCTTCTGGGGGGATGGAGGTAGAAAGATCACATGATCAACAGTTCCCGATGACCAACAACCCCCTAATGGTGCCCAGTGGTTCTTCCCTCACCACAAAGTAACGCAGGGGTCACAGGAAGACTCCACTGCACACCGGAGGGGGAGCCCCAGAGACTGACACCACAGGAAGTGTCGGCTTCCCAAAAATCAGGGCCTCAGTTTTGACTCCATTGGTGAAATCTCCTCCCCAGAATTCCCTGCGAGGCCAATCACAGGGTCAAATGATGGCGCCGCCCTCCCAGGACAGATCCACCATAATGTGAGGGGAGGGGCAGAGACACAAACTACTGGGGGGAAATCTCACCATTGTGGGAGGGGCAGAGACACAAACTACTGGAGGAAATCTCACCATTGTGGGAGGGGCAGAGACACAAACTACTGGGGGAAATCTCACCATTGTGGGAGGGGCAGAGACACAAACTACTGGGGGGAAATCTCACAAATCTTAACATTGGGGGAGGGGCAGAGACACAAACTAGTGGGAGGAAATCTCACCATTGTGGGAGGGGCAGAGACACAAACTACTGGGGGGAGATCTCACCATTGTGGGAGGGGCAGAGACACAAACTATTGGGGGGAATCTTACCATTGTGGGAGGGACAGAGACCTACTGTGGAGAGATCTCACCAATGGACTCTCCCTGACATTATGAGGTCATCTTGTTATTCACTTCTCCATTGCTTTCACTCAAATATCAATTTTGGGTGGTGTTAGCCTTTAAAACCAATTTCAGGCCCCGTTTTGGAAATCCCCGAATCCCAAGTCCAGAACACTTAGTGGCCAATTTAGATACTAACTAGAGACTCTGGCGGAAGGCCGGGGTCAATGTATAGTGTGCACCCTCTTGTGTTTGTTGAGCTGGCAGCTCTGGATGAAGCTTTTCCCGCACACGTTACAGGAGAACGGCTTTTCCCCGGTGTGGGTCTTCTGGTGCCGGACGAGGACGGAGCTGTTGGTGAAGAACTTGCCGCAGATGGCGCAGTAGTACGGCTTCTCCCCCGTGTGGATCCTCTGGTGCGTGATGAGGTTGGGGCTGCTGCGGAAGCTCTTCCCGCACACGGTGCAGGTGTACGGCTTCTCCCCGGTGTGGACCCGCTGGTGCTGGGTCAGGTTGGCGCTGCTGGTGAAGCATTTGCCGCAGTCGGAGCAGACGAACGGCTTCTCGCCGGTGTGCGTCCTCTGGTGTTTGATTAGCGTGGCCTTCTGGTTGAAGCTCCTCCCACAGTCGCTGCAGGCAAAGGGCTTCTCCCCGGTGTGGATCCTCTGGTGGCGGATGAGGTGCGAGATGGCGGAGAAGGTCTTGCCGCAGTCGGGGCAGGAGAGCTGCTTCTCGTTTCTGATGAACATGGAGTTTTTGGCCGAGCAGCTCCCGCAGTCGAAGTTGATGAGCGAGTGCTGGTGGCGCTTCGTCAGGTCGGCGTTCACGGCGAAGCATTCCTGGCTTTCCGAGCTCGGCCGCGTGTGGTCCCCGGAGGCCGGAGAATAGGCGGAGCCGTACAGGCCATCGTCGTACTCGATGACTGTTATGGAAGGGTCTTCTTCCAGCTGAGGTGACCCGTTCTCCTCGCCACTGTCCTCCTCCGTGTCCGGCAGCGTATAGTCCACCCGGTCGTAGCAGTCGCCATCCGTGACGCGTTGTTCCTTGTACTGGACGGATTCCTCCTCGACGTACGAATCAAACCGCCGGAGACTTGCAGATCTACAAACATCGGGACCAGGTTTCTCCTCACAAGACTCCGGCAACACGTTTTTATACAGATGCCTTTGTTCCGGCAAAAGGTAGCCCTCCCCGTCGGTTGCGTTCTCTTCTTCGCGGACTTGGGGCTCCGCCTTAAGCTTGGACGTACTTTGCGTCTGCGTGTGTCCTTCAACGTTGTTCGGCGACCTCCCGAGACGAGGCGCAATTGTCTTCTCCGTCAATCGACCGGTTGCTTCTGTGTCATCAGACGGCTCGGAGATATCGGCACGGGGAAGGTCTCCTTCCTCAAACAAGATGGGCTCCTGCTTGATGGTGGCCCGAGTCATTTTATTGTAGAAGACTTCTGAGGAACCTGGAAAAAAAATGTCGGCCTTCAGCATAAAATTAAAGGGTCAGTACGCTATGTTTCAAGCTGACCTCGCTGGGAAAAATGGCTCCACCCCCTTCCCAGACTGCATGGGTTGAATACCAGGACAGAGGACTTCTACCTACCTTACTGGGAGCACCTCAGAGAAGAGGCTTTGTGGAACCAGTTTGTGGGTCAAGTAAAGTACTGGCTTCTTATATCTCATGGGGCTTGGGCTCGTCTTGGACTATATGGATGAGTTCCTCCATCTCAGCTACTCTGTCCAACCTTGAACGTCAATCTTCCTCTGCTTTGTCTAGGGTACCGGGACAAAGGACCTCTACCTACCTTACTGGGAGCACCTTAGAGAAGAGGCTTTGTGGAACCAGTCTGTGGGTCAAGTAAAGTACTGACTTCTTATATCTCATGGGGCTTGTCTTGGACTACATGGATGAGCTCCTCCATCTCAGCTACTCTGTCCAACCTTGAACCTCAATCTTCCTCTGCTTTGTCTAGGGTACCAGGACCTCTACCTAACATACTGGGAGCACCTTAGGGAAGAGGCTTCGTGGAACCAGTTTGTGGGTCAAGTAAAGTACTGATTTCTTATATCTCATGGGGCTTGGGCTTGTCTTGGACTATATGGATGAGCTCCTCCAACTCAGCTACTCTGTCCAACCTTGAACGTCAATCTTCCTCGGCTTTGTCTAGAGTACCAGGACAGAGGACCTCTACCTACATTACTGGGAGCACCTCAGAGAAAAGGCTTTATGGAACCAGTGGGTCAAGTAAACTACTGGCTTCTTATATCTCATGGGGCTTGGGCTCGTCTTGGACTACATGGATGAGCTCCTCCATCTCAGCTACTCTGTCCAACCTTGAATGTCAACCTTCCTCTGCTTTGTCTACGTTACCAGGACAGAGGACCTCTACCTACATTACTGGGCACACCTTAGAGAAGAGGCTTCGTGGAACCAGTTTGTGGGTCAAGTAAAGTACTGACTTCTTATATCTCATGGGGCTTGGGCTCGTCTTGGACTATATGGATGAGCTCCTCCAACCCAGCTACTCTGTCCAACCTTGAACGTCAATCTTCTTCTGGCCCAATAAGGGTGAGCATTTTTTCGAAGCCACCAGTTAGGACAATGACCAACATTCAGCCAATTCAACACCAGAAAATGTCCACAAAGATGGGGACTGTCCATTCGGACTCAAGTCTGGAGCCATTTTCCCATACATCAGCCATCGATCATCTGATTTAGCTTAGTCTGCTCCACGGGTGGTCATGTATGGGAGGCTTTGGAAGATACAACTACGGGACAGCCAACTCATCTACAAAGAACCGTCGTAAATAGCCGATATTCAGTATTTAGGAGTTGATTGATCCATCAAACTTGGGAAACTTCAAACATTTCTGTCATTCGGGACCATGCCGAGCAACGAACACATAATAGACAACTGAGGGACCTCATTTTTGGAGCCAGCTGACAAGTCAACACCAACTGACCACTGTTCTTGGAGACTCAGTGTTCTCTCAAGTCTATGGTATTCCCAACATGAACTGGTAATTGAGCCTGGAGACCCTTTTCCTCATAGCCTGGAGATGTACCTCCACTTTCATAAAAACCACTCTATGGGCCTTCATGATTCTGCTTCTCACACAGGAGATGGACCTTCTCTTACCAGGTGAGTTGACGGTCTGCAGATTCTCCTTCACCACATCATCGAACACAGCCGCGTGTCCCAAGAACCTCCACACCTGTTTGGAACAACAGACAACAACTACCATGGAGCGACCATCAACAAGGCGCCGCTGATACCAGACTGTGTCCAGCTCCCACAATGCCCCTCACCTCTCCTGTCAGTAGGTGGATGATCTTGTTGCTGACCTCCAGAACCTTCTTGTCCGCCATCACCGATCGGGACGACAGCGTCGGCATCTTGGCACTGCACGCCCCTTTGGGCCCGAGGATACCTTTATTGGCGAATTCACTGGACTTTCCGACCACTTTGTAGTCCTGAAAGGCAAGGGGGAGAAGATATGAAGTTGTGATCCGATCTGAGAAGTCCCCCAAGGACATGAAAGACAGTTATCACCTCCGTGTACACCCATTCAGTATCTGAAAGCAGACCAAGATCTACGTCATCCAGGTCAACACGAGACACTCAACCACTTGTCATCCAAGGTGGCTTCCATAGCTATCTACTATCTGGACCCATTCAGTATCTAATGCCAACCAATATCTATGTGTCCAGGTCAACACATCAGGTTACTATGAGACAATCAACCCCTTTTGACATCCAAGATTGCTTCCTACATCCATCTACCATCTGGACCCAGTCAATATCTGAATGCCAACCAAGATCCAAGTCAGCCAGGCCAACATGAGACAATTAACCATTTGGCATCCAAGGTGGCTTCCCATAGCTATAACTATCTGGACCCATTCAGTATCTGAATACCAACCAAAATCTAAGTCATTCTGGTCAACACATCAGGTGACATAAGCAACCATTTGTTATCAAGATGGCTTTCCACATCCATCCATCATCTGGACCCATTCAGTATCTAATGCCAATCAACATCTATGTGTTCAGGTCAACACACCAGGTGACTAAGAGACAATCAACCACTTGGCATCTAAGGGGGCTTCCTACATCTACCTACCATCTGGACTCGTTTAGTATCTGAGTGCCAACTAAATTCCAAGTGTCCAGGTCAACACATCAGGTGACTATGAGACAATCAACCACTTGTCATCCAAGATGGCTTCCTACATCCATCAACCATCTGGACCCATTCAATATTTGAAGTCCTTCCAAGATCCAAGTCAGCACATCAGGTGACTATGGGACATTGAACCACTTGTCATCCAAGATGGCTTCCTACATCCATCTACCATCTGGACCCATTCAATATCTGAAGTCCATCCAAGATCCAAATCAACACATCAGGTGACTGAGACTTCAACCACTTGGCATCTAAGATGGCTTATAAATCAAGATAATGTGGCCATTTCCCAACCATCTACCTGCTCCTCAAAGTGGGAATGGGTAGAACTTCTGCCAAGTGTTTTTTTCCCTCCTGTGTCCCATTGGGAAGATCTGCCACTCGGCATCCATAATGGCTTTCTACATCCATGTGTACAGGTCAAAACATCAGGTGACAATAAGACAATCAACCACTTGGATGTAGGAAGCCATCTTGGATGCCAAGTGGTTGATTGTCTCCTGGTCACCTAAAGTGTTGACCTGGACACATAGATGTTGATTGGCAGTCAGATACTGAATGGGTCCAGATGGTAAATGGATGTAGGAAACACTTGGCAGAAGTTCTACCCGTTCACTCTTTAAGGAGCAGGTAGATGGTTGGGAAATGGCCGCATTATCTTGATGTAGAAGCCATCTTGGATGCCAGGTGGTGGAATGTCTCATAGTCAACTAATGGGTTGACCTGGCTGACTTGGATCTTGGTTGGCATTCAGATATTGAATGGGTCCAGATGGTAGATGGATGTAGGAAGCCATCTTGGATGCCATCTACCATCTGGACCCATTCAATATCTGAATTTTTGACCAAGATCCAAGTCAGCCAGGTCAACACATCCGGTGACAATGAGACAATCAACCACTTGTCATCCAAGATGGCTTCCTACATCCATCGACCATCTGGATCCATTTAGTATCTGAGTGCCAACTAAATTCCAAGTGTCCAGGTCAACACATCAGGTGACTATGGGACAATCAACCACTTGGCATCTAAGATGGCTTCCTACATCCATCAACCATCTGGACCCAGTCAATATCTGAAGTCCATCCAAGTCAGCCAGGTCAACACATCAGGTGACTATGGGACAATCAACCGCTTGTCATCCAAGATGGCTTCCTACATCCATCAACCATCTGGACCCATTCAATATCTGAAGTCCATCCAAGATCCAAGTCAGCCAGGTCAACAAATCAGGTGACAATGAGACAAGCAAACACTTGGCATCCAAGATGGCTTCCTACATCCATCGACCATCTGGATCCATTTAGTATCTGAGTGCCAACTAAATTCCAAGTGTCCAGGTCAACACATCAGGTGACTATGGGACAATCAACCACTTGGCATCCAAGATGGCTTCTAAATCAAGATAATGTGGCCATCTGACAGCCATCTACCCGCTCCTCAAAGTGGGTAGAACTTCTGCCAAGTGTTTTTTTTTACCTCCTTTGTCTCATTGGGAAGATCTGCCACTTGGCATCCAAGATGTATTTCTATATCCATGTGTACAGTGGATGTAGGAAGCCATCTTGGATGCCAAATGGTTCATTGTCACCTGATGGGTTGACCTGGCTGACTTGGATCTTGGTCGAAAATCCTGATACTGAATGGGTCCAGATGGTAGATGAATGTAGGAAGCCACCTTGGATGCCATCTACCATCTGGACCCATTCAGTATCAGGATTTTCGACCAAGATCCAAGTCAGCCAGGTCAACCCATCAGGTGACAATGAGACAATGAACCACTTGGCATCCAAGATGGCTTCTACCTCAAGACAATGTGGCCACCTGACAGCCATCTACCTGCTCCTCAAAGTGGGAATGAATAGAGCTTCTGCCAAGTGTTTTTTGCCATCTTTGTCCCATTGGGGAGATCTGCCTTCACTTCCTGTGCCAGAAGCACCACAGGAAGTCAGAGGAAACCTCTCCACAATGAGGGAAAGTCCCCTCTTAGACGACTGCCCCTCCATTGGAAGATTGGAGCAGAAGGTCGGGACAGGAAGCTCACCTCGCCGGTCAGCAGGAAGACGATCTCCAGGGTGAGGCTGATGATGTTCTCTGATACCGGCCTGTGGTCGGGCTCCATCTTGACGTTGGTGGGTTCCAAGGAGCCTGAGGGGGAGGGGGGGGAGAAGAGGACAATCATGAGCCGACCCGGAAATGTGAGAGACCTTCCTTCATCTAAACAGGTTCTTCACTCTCAGTAAAACTTCTCTTAGAGGAACAAAGACGGAGCGGACATTTCCTGTCGGGCAGATGCGCCCTTCACCCATCTGCTGGTGGGACGATCATAGAGTGTGCGTGGTTTTCCTACAACTGGAAACATCTCTTTGGTATTCTGTGGCATGCAACCAGTAGAGGTCTGACAATGGGCGGTGGTCACCCAACGAACATGGAGGTAAATGATGACCCCACTACATGAGACGTCTCTTATCCATGGTCGGCTGCCATCTTAGGCTAGGAAAGGCACCATAAGCATGGGTGGTGGTATTATTCTAAGGGAACCCTGCACAGGAAATGAGCTGCGCACTCTAAAAATACATCCCCTCAGTAGGCCAACTTCATTTTCATCCCCCCCCCCCATAATGGCTGCAGCCAACAGCTCCCCCTTGGCCATGTGATCATCATTATCTAGATGGAGAGTTGCCAGCTGTGTATAATGTAGATGATACAGACTCAGTGAAGGAGGAGCTCAGACAGTCACCTGCACTGAGGGGGGTACAGCTGCCTCCGGATCTCCCCGAAATATCACACTAAACTCCCTTTAAAGAGGAAAAAAAAGAGACCCCTTCCTGTTTGTCTTTGGTCACTTCCGGCCTGCTGGGGGATTTGCGTTCCACGGGTCGTTCACACTTCCGTGTTGTGCGTTTCACTGGGAGGCTAATACAGCGACTTCCGGGTTCTGCGCTCCACGGAGGCTACTTCCTGCTTATGCGTTTCAGCTGACTTCCTGGTTATGCGTTCCAAGCCTCAGTAAGGATCCCCGTGGAGGTTTGTGGGTAGGAAGAGAGGGCGTGGCTTTACCGCTGCACTACATCTCCCATAATGCACAGCATGCTGACTGTGTGGAAGGTTTTTGGTGGTGTTCTGTGTCTGAGGGACCCCAGTGTAGCTCTGTGACCTTACTGGCTTTATTGTATGGAGGGTACAAGGAGCAAAGTGCAATCACCTATAGCAACCAACGTTTAAAACAACAACTGATAGCAACCAAACATATGTGCAGTAGCCCATAGAAAGCAAGGATAAGTGTGGTAGCCCAAAGCAACCAAAAGCTAAGCACAGTAACCCATAGCAACCAAGGACAGGTGCAGTGGACCCTTTAGCAACCAAATCTAAGCAATAACCCGCAGCAATCAAGTATGGGAGCTGTTACCCCTAGCAACCAATCACAATCCATTTCGTACCTGCCTGATTGACTGCTCTGGATCAGATCACTTACCAATCAGCACTGAGCTCCTTCCACCATTGGTGGGCAGGCACCTAAACATGGGCCCCGGTGCAGGCTTTGGACAGGGCTCCCCACCCCCCATGGCACGCCATGATGTAGAGCTGGGCGCAGTGTCACCTCCCTCATCCCCCCGGGGGGGGGGGGAGGGGCACAAGAAGGTCCTCCTCACTCTTCTCCCTCAGAGGTGTCCCGTCATTGCCATCCTTGTCCCATCCACAGAAAATAGAAGGTGGCGGCAGATATTGGAGAACGTTCACCGGTGATGGCCATGTATGGGGGGCCCCCCATGACCCCGCTCCCCCAAGCCAAGCCCAGCCTGGGAACATCTGATCAACCAGGGATGTCCATCACTGAACTTCCCCAAATATATCCCGAGTCCCCGTCTCTCCACAGGACCTACCAGCATGTTGTGTCAACTGATACAGACTTCCACGTTTGAGGGACCTTCCATCTGTAGGACCTTCTTATGGCTGAGACGTCTACGGGGCCCATCCGATATCTACCGGCAGATAAAACACCAATACTTCCATCCTATCGTGCCTCCTACCAAGTCCCCCTCTCTCTATAGGTACCACCATGTTGGGTCACACAATGTAGACTTCCATATTTGAAGGACCTTCCTATGGCTGAGATGTCTGTGGGCCCATCTGATATCTACAGGCAGATAGGACATCCCCTGCACCCCCAATACTACCATCCTGTCATGTCTCCTGCTTCAGTCCCCCTCCCTCTATAGGTACCACCATGTTGGGTCACCCAGTGTAGACTTCCTTGTTTGAGGGACCTTCCATTTGGAGGACCTTTCTATGGCTGAGACATTTATGGGCCCCATCTGATATCTACAGGCAGATAGGACATCCCCTGCACCCCGAATACTTCCATCTTTTCATGTCTCCTGCCTTATTCCTGCTCCCCCCATAGGTACTGACATGTTGGGTCACCCAGTGTAGACTTCTATGTTTGAAGGAACTTCCATTTAGAGGACCTTCCTACGGCTGAGATGTCTATGGGCCCCATCTGATATCTACAGGCAGATAGAACATCCTCTGCACCCCCAATACTTCCATCCTTTAATGCCTCACTGAGTTCAGGGAGGACAACGTATGTCGGAGTATCAGATGGGGTCACCGAGTTCAGGGAGGACAACGTATGTCGGAGTATCAGACGGGGTCACCGAGTTCAGGGAGGACAACGTATGTCGGAGTATCAGACGGGGTCACTGAGTTCAGAGAGGACAACGTATGTCGGAGTATCAGACGGGCTCACTGAGTTCAAGGAGGACAACGTATGTCGGAGTATCAGACGGGTCACTGAGTTCAGGGAGGACAACGTATGTCGGAGTATCAGAGGAGGTCACTGAGTTCAGGGAGGACAACGTATGTCGGAGTATCAGACGGGGTCACTGAGTTCAGGGAGGACAACGTATGTCGGAGTGTCTCCAAATCCAAGTTTATCCCACCACTTCCTGCTTGTGTTCCAAGCCTCGCTCCCAGCTCCAGTCACCTGACACAAGGCCACGCCCCCCCCCGCAGCTTCCTGGACCGTGATGCACTGCCGGCATCCTCACTTCCTGTGGACATCCTCGTCCATGTGAGTAGAGAACTCGTTTGTGTTTGTTGATGGAGGACCAGCCGCCCCTCACATCACCGGGTAAGAGGAGAGAGCAGTACGGAGGCTCCGCCTACATCCCCCATCATCTGATACACACATAGAAACAATGTATTCAGTCAGTGTGTGTGTTTCCTACAGATGGATCCAGTAAGAGGAACCCACCAGAGAGATGTCCCCGCCCCCTGTATTCCCGGGATCCCACCCAGGAAGATCTCACCCTCCCCCACCATGATCAGGTAGGTGGGACAGAGGAATGAAGAACATCTAAAGGGATATCGGGGTTGTTGGCTTTCATTTTGTCTCATGTCCCCGGTATTTATTGATAACAGGGCGGAAACAGGAGTCGTGTGAAGCCAATTAAAGAAGAAGAAGAAGAGGAGGATGAGGATGAGGAAGAGGAAGTGATTCGGGTGACAGTGAAAGAAGAGGAAGTTCCCATAGAGATTGACACAGGTGAGCCAAAAAAAAAGGTTCAGTACAAAGAGGAAGGAGCAGAGTCCTCCGGCAGAGCAGAGTATATCA